TTTATAAAGTCATTTGACCAATGGAAACACTGTGTTTCTACATAGGATAACAGGTTACAACCTTGTAACTTTGGCAACTGTTGGTGGGCCAAATCAAATGGCTTGGCGGGCCAATTTTGGCCCGCGGGCCACACTTTGGGCTCCTCTGATCTAGCATTTTAAGATCATCCTCCATAATCCTTTACCCTGGATTAAAAGTACATCTTTCTTTCAAGCAAGTATGAAAATATGGCTTCACAAACATTTCCATCCCCTTCAGATAATAACAACTGTGTCTCTTAACAAAGTTTACCTGAATGTTGGAAGGTAATAAGTTTTTATGAGCCTTGTACATAAACAGTAAAATATTGTAGTCAGTCAAATCATAGAATTTCAAAATTTTCAATTTACAAAATAACGTATTAGGTACCTTCTGTTCTTGTCATTGACGGGAATCCAAAGATTGTTTTTGATCAATGTTCTGTCTTAATTCTGTCGTTTTCAGTGTTGTGTTAAAAATGACCGAAATAAAACTCCRCACAATACAAACGGCTGAGTGTCGGCTGATCAAGATATTTGTTGTCCAACCTTTGCCCGTTCTTCAGGCAGCATCGTAACCATTCTGAACGGGCCGATTCTGGCTGAGGACAAGGACATCGGGATTAATGCCGTGGTGACGTACCGGCTCCTGGGTGCACGGGTGGACCTCTTCACTGTCGACCCCAACACCGGTAACACTGTTTTTCTTACAGAGTCACCAAAGAAGACAATTAAGGAAAGGTGTAAGTCTTAGCTCCTCCCTCCAGGTGTCATCCTGGTGCGTCAGGGAGCAAAGCTGGACCGGGAGGCGTTTCAGGATCCTCGGGTGGAGCTGACTGTAGTCGGGGAGGACATCGGAAAGTTAAACAACAGCGTCCCCCTCACGATCACCATTCTGGACCAGAACGACAACCCTCCTATCTTCAACCCACCCAGTTTCAGCGTCCACCTCCCAGAGAACAGCCCCACTGGTGCGTGCTTTACTTTGGTTTCTCCGATTAMATCCCGAAGACCCAATTCATGCGTGTCTCCATCAATTCCAGGTGTGGTGGTGACTCAGCTGTCCGCTACCGATGCCGACTCCGGCGCCAACGGCTGGCTGATGTATCGGTTAGAAAGCGGGGCTCAGGACCGCTTCGTGGTCGACTCGCTGTCCGGAGCGGTCCTGGTGGGCAACGTCACGCTGGACAGGGAGGAGCGCGCCTCCTACCGCCTCGTGGTGATGGCCATCGACCGCGGTACCCCGCCTCTGTCGGGCACGGCCACCCTGACGGTCATCCTGGACGACGTCAACGACTCGCGACCACGTTTCCTAGAACCTGTGACCATGATCAACGTGAACGAGTCGACCCCGCCTGGCGTGGTGGTGGCCACGCTTACAGCCGAAGACCCCGATCTAAACCCACGACTTGAGTATTACATCATCTCTGTGGAGGCAAAGGATGATGGGAACAACCCAGTAGCTGGCCTACAGGAATCCTTTGGCATCGATTTACACACAGGTAAGACCTGGATTAATAACCGTGTTTCCATCCAGTTTTAATACAAGTTTTGAGCAAATTTTTAAAATTTCGCAAAAAGAAGAAATGCGAATCAGGCGTGTTTCCATTAAATAGCTTGAAGCGAATCAACCAGGCTATGCAAAGTGTAATTACATCAGACGCATGGCTGTAGTAAACAGGAAGTAGAAGTCGCAAACTCGCAGGGATCTCAGGACAATGGAGGGAAGTTATCAGGAACGTGTTGCTACTATCGGGAAAGTTGTAATTATTCTGTCATATCAGCTAGTTCTGGTGATGTAGAGAAAGAAATACAATTCTCTTCACGTTACGGGAATAACTGAGAACAGCGGGAGGAGGGTCCTGCTGCAGTCGCTCTGGTACCGGTGTTACACCATATTTTGTGACCGTCATATACTGTGACCAGAGGGGGCGCTGTTGTGTTTCTAGAACAGAACTTGGTCGAACATGGCCACAAAGAAGAATATGATACGCCAAAAAGCCAGAGGCTGAAGACAAACGAAGAAAACAACTAAACTTATTTTACATGGTCACAATATAWGACAGCTTGTCATATATAGCGACTTCACTGTAGCTAAGGAAATAGCAAAGATTTTTATGCAAAAACTGTTTCTACTAATTGTTTACATCCTCTAGTGTCAGAAAAATAACTTTTGATCACTGACATGGTGACTGTTATTAAATTAGAACAGGGACACATAAGATGATAGCCATTATCATGTATAGTAGTAATAATAGTAGTAGGAATAGTCAGCATGCCAGTGATCAGAAGTTATTTTTCTGACATTAGGGGATGTAAACATTTAGTAGAATCAACTTATGAATAAATATTTTTACTATTTCTTTAGCTAAAGTGAAGTCACAGTATATGACAACATGTTACTGTATGTGACCCTGTACTAATTTAATAACAGTCACCAATGATCAAATGTTATTTTTCAGATATTAGAGGATGCAAACAATGAGTAGAATCAGTTTATGAATAAATATTTTTACTTTTTACCAAGCTGCAGTGAAGTCACAATAAATGACAACAGTTGTCATATTTTGTGACTTCTGGCTTACACTTTTGGCGTATCATATTCTTCTTTGTGGCCAATTTCGGCCAAGTTCTGTTGTATAAACGTAACAGCGCCCCCTCTGGTCACAATATAAGACGGTCACAAAATATGGTGTAACACCGGTCCATTACCAGACAGACAGCGGGATCAACCATGTGAGGTAAATTTTCGCTACGTCAGAACTTATTCAGCAAATGTGTTTCCACCTCTCCTTTCGAGCATAAACTCTTAAAAAAAACACCTCAAGCGAGCGTAGAAGCATTTTTGCAAATTAGAGGAAGTTTTTTCCGAATCGTGCCATTTCCATTCACCTTTTCTAATGCGATGCTTCAAAATGCGCATAAAAAACTTTGATGGGAACACGGCTAATACTCTGATATCACAGTAGTTAAGGATGTATATTTTGTGCATTTAAAAAAAGGTTAAAAAAATACACGTTTTGGTGAATTTCCAGGTGCAGTTTTTGTGCGTAACCCAATCAACAGAGAACTGGTAGCTACGTTTGAGATCATCGTGTCTGTTCATGACAACGCAAGTGACATTATTGACAAGTCAGTCAGTATTCCCAACGGTAAGTCCTCCTTAAATGTTAAAAGTTCTTCTTATTCCCACAAATTATAAATGTTTTACTCATCAAAATGTAAGTATTTTTGTCTTCTTTAACCCAGCTTTAAACACCCACAGGACCAAAGGGCTGTACACATAATAAAACATTAAATCAGTCAAAAATTGAATAAAAACAATTTAACATTACAAATGGTGTTCAATGGCCAGAGAGAAGAGATGGGTTTTAAGACCTGAGGAAACGAGAGGGGATGTAAGGATGTAGAACTCAGACAGATAGGGCGGGGCAAGGCCATTAAAAGCTTTAAAGTGCCTGTGACATGRTTWTTTTTATAAATATWAAGGCATTATTGGAAAGATAACAATATTAACATATTGCAARAATAATTTCTCGCTGCAGAGATGAACAGTTGTTGAGATATTTGCATGTGAAGAAACAGGAAGTGATGTCAAAGGGGAATGCCTGCATGGAACAAAGCATTGATAAAATGGCTAACGACACACACTGTAGTAGTGATGTTTCTTTAGGTTATTTTGAGTCACTATCAGAGAAAGATGAAGACGAGTCAGAGTTCAAATACTATTATTTCAATAAACAAAGATTACAGATTTCTTTTTCTTAAAATGTTCCCCTATGATGTCACTTCCTGTTGCACTTTGGCTGAGCCAAGTTGTAAAGAAAGTAAGTCATTTGTGACAAAATGGGTAAAATCATATTTTAAGCAAGGTTTCTTATAAAAATGTGTTTTCTGTGACTTTTTGTATTCGATGATACAGGATGTTGTGGTTCTTAGGTGTCGTGTTATGTGTATGTAGTAAATGCAGGCGGGGCTCAAAGTCCCCTTGTTTTTTCCTAAACCCATCCAGAGGACCTAGTTATTTTTTCTTTTTGATTTTTATCTACCTGGATTACTGAGATGCATCAGGACATTACGACTTATATTTTTTACCCGGCGGCTAAGGTTTACGTCAGTGGCGGCTGGTGCTAAAAAAACTGAGGGGGGCGCACACAAACAAACAAATGAAAAACAAACAAAACAAATCTTAAATAGCACTATTTGAACATGAATTTTGCCCTCCTTTCCTTCTGCCCTGCAAATTTCTCAATTACATTCTTGTTAAAGTCAGTCATCTCTGTGACTAGTCTTTTCTCCATTGACAACATGGCCAATGC